CACAGCACTAAAGGTCTTTGGATGGTTACCCAAAGGTCGTCAAAGAATTGGTGTGGATTTATCTCGTGATGTGTCAACCAAAACAGATTAAGATAACAAAAATCCCCCAGAAGTATGTGGCTTACAAGCTGTTTCTTAATTAAGGTTCTTTCTTACTCCTGGTCTGTCTTCTGTGGGTCAACTGCAACATCTGATCCATGTGTCCTTGCTCAGGGATCCAATCTGCTGGAACTTCCATATTCATACCATCGCTGACAGTCAAATGTGTGGAAGGAACCTGGGAGGTCAGGGGGCTGACTCTTGTTATGTTCTCTGCTCCTGGAGAACATCCCATCGCTGCTCACAGTTCTTTGACCCAGACAAGTCACACGGGCACAAAGAGCTTCCACGGGATGAGTCAGAACTGTTTTGTCATGTTGAAAACAAAGAGCCTTAGTGGCCACTCTCATCCCTGTCACATAGGCCTAAGCCAAGGGTTTGTTCCCAACATTATCAGACTTTGTAATTTATTCCTGGAAGTATGCTACGCCTTTGTTCTTGAATGTCCCCCAAAAGCTTGTATAGTAAAGGCTTGGTCTCTAGCCTGGGGCACTGCTGGAAAGTGATGGGCCAGTTAGGATCTGAGGTTTGGTGCAAGGAAGTGAGTTCATGCTGATGAAAAGCTACCAGCCTCTTTTTCCTCTCCTTTTCACTGCCCATGAGGACTTTCTACCGCCTGTGCTTCCCCAGTGGTGAGATACTTTTCTCGGGCAACAATAAACCAAAGGCTGAAACCTCTAATGCTAGAGCCAAAATGTGTCTCTCTCCTTTTAAAGGATTGTCTCTGTCATCTCCATGATTCACTGCAATGAGCAGAAATGGCCAAAGAAAACATGTAAAAGAAGATGCATGACACAGGTCCTCATATGGTATAACTTTAAAACCGTAAGGTCAGCATTGAGCAGACAGACCTTGTTTTGCCACTTGCCTATTATGTGACTTCAAGCAACTCCTCAGCCTTCTGGAAAGTTAGAATGATCACATCTAATTTATAAGAATGTTTAAGGAGTAAATAATATCAATACCATGAACTCAAGTTTTTGAAAATCTAGTTCAAGGCCAGGTCAAGACTGGTCCCTGGTAACAACCTCCAGGAACCATCCCTAATGACAAATGTGGATGTTGAGACACATTTTCAACTGTACCAGCAAAATGATGCCTGCAAAAAAGTTCAGAAGATCAAGTCATGCAGAAACATCACCATCTCCTCAGTAAACAACGGATTTTAGATTTCTTAACCTCTGTAACCACACTGAAGGCTCCACCTTATATCTTCTGCTTAAAATACCTCATGGGTAGGTAGATGGGGAAAACTCTATATGTTTAGTTTTCCCGACCCATTCAGACACAGAAGACACAGCCAGCATGCTTTCTTTGAATTGGCCTGACCTGTGTTTACAGGGTTCTTTGCTGGCCATTCTACCTCGTTCTCATCCCAGGCCTGTGACACCAGCTTAAACAAACACGCACATCTGCACACAAGAAACACACTCAGGTCTTTGTCTTTTCCAGGCAAAGAAATAAAACAAACAAGTAAACAGAAAAGGTTGCTACGATAAAAATGGAGCCAACCACAGTCTTTGGCGAAGGCACACCGAATCGGCTAAACTAATTTTAAAAATCAAAACCAACTTGACGGGATGAATGCACAATTTGCTGGGTACTAATCCAATTGAGTGGGCTCCTAGCTATCCAAATAAAAGCAATCATGGAGGAGTTAGCACTCTAAGCTCATGGTGAGTCGGGCGCTTTGCTGAAGGCTTTGATGGATTCTCCTGTGCTGTAGCACAGCCCAAGCATGCAGCACTAGTCTATGTGCAGTTCCCTGGCAGCGCCAGGCACACTGAGAGATTAGGCTCTTTTCCTAAAGAAACAGTTCAGCGCTCACCCCTGGCCTGCATGTAGCTGGTGCATTTGGTCCTCAGGAATATCCTGGGTTGCTCCACGTCTTGATTTTAACCCTGCATTGTACAAACTGTCTGAAATTCTTGTGGCCAAGAACCAAAAATTTAACCTAGATATAAGCAAAATAATGTGTGTGTGTGTGTGTGTGTGTGTGTGTGTGTGTGTGTGTGAGAGAGAGAGAGAGAGAGAGAGAGAGAGAGAGAGAGAGAGAGAGAGATACATTGATCATACATTATCAAGTTAGTGTGGTCACTGTAATCAGAATATTTTAGCCTTTATAAAGAATAATATCTAGTTGAGCTATACATCTGTCTCAGATGTTACCTACTTGAGATGAAACATGAGATGTTTTCACATTTTTACATGCACATAATTATATACATATTATATACATGTGTATAATTATAATTATATAATGTAGATAATGTTGTGAGTAATCATGAATAAGAAATATCAGTTTAAAGGCTCTTCATCTTCTCAGTCTCTTCCTCCTCAAGTATTTGTTATGCTCCTCTGAAACGCTGGGCTCTATGACGGAGGGTGGATTATAGTGCTGGGAGATGTAGTCTTTTATCTCAAGGAATTCACAGTCTGGCCAGAGAAAGAGCCTGCAAAACTATAAGATGGAATTGGTGCAGTAAGATAAACACAGAATGCAGTTTGAAGATGCAAACAGTTGGCCAGTTAAGACCAGCATAGGGCTCAAAGGACGGCTATGGCGAAGACTTTGGGAGCATTTGTCTGCGTGTTCTACTACTCTAGAGAAAAATGTGCCCATCAATACTGCTAAGGCATCCCTAGAATGTGCTAAGGACAATGCCATACCCTCTGGTAAGAAAATAGAAGAGTTAGAACTTGGAGAAAATGGCACCAAAGTCTAAGAGGTAATGGAGGTTTCTATAAACTCGAGCAGATCTAGAAACAACAGTGAGCAGCAGAGTGATGGATCTGAAAATGATGCCAGAAGGAAAAACTGAAGAGCAGAGAAAGAGAAAAAGTAGAGGAAAGGGGGTTTAGTGCCAGCTCTCTTCTGGAGGCAGAGTAAGTAGCAAGGAGAGGGATGAGCACATGGCAAAATCGTCACAAGCTACAGACACAGAAAAGTTGAAGGAAAGAAGAGAGAAAAGCCATACAGCAGTGCTTGGTACTGGGTGCCTACTCTGACTGCTTATCTAATATGGAGTCTGCAGCAAAACACCAGTTAGTGGGGAAAGGATGGAAGGGCATTGCCATGAGTGTTTTGTTCAACAAACTTCAGCAGAGGGAAGTGCTTTCATTAATATCTGCATGAGAAAGTGTGAGGTGAAACCTCTGTCCTCAGAGAAGCTGAGGCCGGATTACCTGAGTCTGACCAATTAACAAAGAAATAAACGAGTCCACATCCTAGTGAAAATCCTCTGTCTTTAGGAGCTGAGCTTGGGGGAACTACTAAATTCTGGGGCTTCCTCCTTGGAGCACGTTGTGGAGCAGCATTTTCTTCTGCAGCCCCCAGCTGCCGCGTCCTGTTTCTGTCTCCAATGTGACACACCCTCAGCTTTGCTAGGATGTTGTGTTCGGAGTTCGGGAAAGAGCAGTGGGACCTCATAAAACATATTTAGTTATTATTTTAATAAACTTTATTATAAATACCATGGAAATAAATAAGAAAACATCACACACTAATGTCTACACAAACTGCATGCTATCTCTCATATACAGAATCTAAACAATAACGTACGCTCATGTGAATACAAAGCTAGAAAGGTTGGGCTACCGGGGATGTAAAAGAGAGTTTGTGCCTTTCTCTGCGTGCACAAAGATCTCCCTATCAATAGTTCGGGTCACAATTTCGGTCACTTGTGGAGTGCTCACTGCCTTCTCAGCTCACAGATGAGTCAACCGTGCGATACCAGGCAGTCACACCATCTGCCCAGTCGTGGGGATGCTTGGCCTCCTCCACCTCCTGTCCAATACAGACAATCTGCCTCTGACCCCACCAGCTCAACCACTGGCAAGAACGCCTCTTCTAGGTGTATCTGTGATGTCCACAGATAGTTAGGACCCTGCCACGTTAGCCTGGCAAGAACTCAACATGGCACCCTGATACCTAATCCCCCCCCATGATAGCTAACTAGTATCCTCAGACTTCACCTTCTCCCAGGTAACAGCTGGTTTACTTCTGCCTTGAACATTCCTTGAAGTATTAACCCGAATCCCCTCCTTCCTGATTCTTCCTCATAGTGGTTTTCTACCTGTGGACCCCATCCTCCTTGATGTACGGCTCATATGCAGGTGCTGTGCTCCCAGTGGCGGCCACTCTCTCTGTCAGAGTGCAGGACGGGGTTACCATGTCCCCACACTTGCTGTAAGAGTCGCCAGTAAAATCACCCTTACCATGATTTAACAAGTGCTCCTGGATAGCCTTTCCTTAACACTAAGTGAGGTTGCCCACGAAATACTAATTCTTACACCCATTCAAAGCCCTTAAAGACATTAGTCTATCTTGGTGTTGTTTTTTGAGAGAACAGTGAGATCAGCCTTAACAAGAACTCCAGCACGAGGCTGGGTTTGCTTGTCCCTTATATGAGCCTCGGGTGCTTCGTAAGATGAAGGGCTGGTTAAAGGGTACCCAAACTCTCAGCTTCCCATGCTGTTACCAACTCTTGCCTGTAGTAAACTGAACACAACAAAATGAGAAGCGTTTTCATAGAAAACAAAGCCATCCACGCGATAACAAAGTTAATCTCCGTCTGCGGGAAAACTCTCTCTTCTGACTTTGGCAGACCTATCTTCAGAAAGAAGAGGCCTTCTGGCGGGCGTGGGTGTCGTGGGTGCTGGAGCGGCTCAGCTCCTGGCTGCAGCAGTGTTCCCGGCCTCAGCAGCTGCTGGCATGGCCAGCTCGGTTCGGACAATCCCTGGATCAGACTGACCTCTAGGGGCCGCGCGGCAACCGGCAGCCAGGGCTCCCGCGCACACAAAAGGAGCCACTGGAGGCTTGCAGGAGGGAGCCCGCCAAAGCATCCGCGCGCGGAGTGCTCTCAGATGCAGACACCACAAAGCCAAAACATTAACATTTTGCTTGCTATTTATTCAGCTTCTTTGTCTTTAATTCCCCGTCGCCAAGTAGCCTCCAAATGTGTCTCTTTCGGTATCAAAGTGATCACTTCGGATTAAAGCATTCCTTCTGGAAAGATACCTTAATTAAAATGTGTGTGGTGGGGAGGGATGGGTGGGCGGCAGCATCTTTCTAATTCCTCTCTGAGAAAAAGGGAAAACAAAAAATAAATAGTTCAAGAAAAAAAAAAGAAATGGCCTTTTCACAGTGTGGGACAGAAATCAGTTTTAAGCTTTTGATGCTTCTGGCGAGACTCAGCACTAGATACTGAAGGCCACACACCGTGACTGCACGTTAACATTTGCTGTGTACCTACTATGTGCTGGGCACTATCCTCAATCCGTTCATGTATGCTGCATGTTTTATTATGAGACCAGTGGGGGACAGAGATGGTGACTCTCAGAAGTCTCCACCTGCAGGATTAAACTCCAGAACGCATGGGTTTTCTCTGTTAACTGCTGTTCGTAAATACCTTTCCTACACACACACACACACACACACACACACACACACACACCTTGCTATTAATTCTCAAGGCATTTTAAGTTCAAACCAGAATTCTTAATCTCTTCACCCGTTAACAGCAAGTCACTATTAACACATAGGTAGTCTAGCACCTGGTACCCGAGGGACCATCAAGGGAGACTACCAAAGAAAGAAAGGAAGGCTTTTTCAAGGTGAGGTCACTTTCTGTGGACAAGTTTTCAACACTGGGGAACAAACACTGGCAAAAAGACTCCATCCTCAGGAGAACTCCAGTGATGACGGGGGACCAGAAACCAGGGGCCTGGAACCAGACCAGCACCTCATCGCAATGAACATTGCTGGTAAAGCTGATTGGACAAAAGCTCCCTATGCCACCAAGATGAAGGAAGAAGTGTTGGAGAGGCAGAAAAGAAGACCAGAAGAGGGTTTTTGTTGTTGTTGTTTTAGTTTTGGTTTGCTTTTTTGTTTTGTTTGTTCTTGTTTTTGTTTGTTTGCTTGCTTACTTTGTTTTCTTTTGTGGGGATGCTGCAGAGATGAGGAGAGGATATGGGGGGACCAGGATGTGAGTGAAATTGGGATGCATGATGTGAAACTCCCCAAAAAAAATCAATGAAGAAGTTAAATTTGAAAAAATAAACTTAATCTTTGCTTTGAACGAGAGTCATCTCCTCCACATCCAAGTTCTCATCTTGACAGCGGGAAGAGTGAGGGGGCTTCACAGTAAGATCTTCAGGAAGTTAGGGGAATACCTTGTGCCACAGACTTAGTGGGTGCCTGGCCCAGGCCACACTCTGAATAGACGTGCCCAAATGACCAGTACATCTTTATTGCGGTTTGTTATTGGAACCCAGGTTCTGGATCTGCAAACTTGGGGTGATGGAGAAAGATGGTTATAAAGTAGATTTCCACATAGAAAGATGTGGTTTGAGTTCTCCAGAGAGACAAGCCCAAGAGGATGGATGTGTAGAGAGAGGTAATAAGGGATAGACTAGATACCTTAGATGACATAGTTGTAGAAGCTGAAAAATGCCAAGGAAAGATGAATAACTGGGGAATCCTATAACAGAACTTCCAATCCCAAGCCAATGATGTAAGAAAATAGGGGATCCACTAATGCAAACCTTAAGGTTCAAATGCCAGAGACCCTGGAGTTCTAAGGCCTCCTGACAGGAGGAGGAGTGTCATCGTTCCAAAAGAAACTTTGCCCTTTGGCACTTTTGCTCCATTTGGTAGATCTGGTGATGCGCGACCCCCTCAAGAGAGGGTGCTTTTTCCTTTCTCAGACTACTCACTCAGATGCTGTGCCACAAGTAATACTGTAACCACTGTGTGGGAATCCGCTAATCCAGCCATCAATCTTCTAATCCAGCCATCAATTCATTAATCCAGCCATTAATTTGCTAATCCAGACATCAATCCGTCAATCCAGCCTAAATTAGTCATCATGGTGGGAAAAGGGGGACTCAAGCCTACAAGACCCTGCTACTGGCAAAATGTGATTCACAAAAACACCAAACGGTAAAGCAGAACTAAAAGAGAAACATGTACCCTTGGTGGAAGGTGTGAGTCATACCTTTGCACATGGAGAACTGCTTCATGGGCTTAGGCAGGTTTTTTAACGGCACCGATGAAGGAGTCTCACCAAGTTTTTCTAACCTGGTTCTGATGGAGCCTATGGACCTGTTCGTTTAAGGGGCATATAAAGCACAAAAGAACATGTTAAAGCATACTAGCAGGAACACAATAAACAAAAAATCCTGGACATAGAAAGGTCTAAGGACAAATGATCCAGTTTCTTTAGGAAATAAATTGTCGGGACAAGTTTAAGAGGCACATCAACCAAATACAAGTAGACTTTGAACTATGCTTTGGGTAGGTGGCAAGACATTTGCAAAACAACAGAGGACCCCTAAACATTGATTAGATCTTTGATATTAAACTGCATTTTCTTATACTTAGAATTGTGTGCTGAAACACTCATGAATGATGTGGTACAAAGGCTGGAGTCTGTTTCCCAAAGGTCCTTCCCAGGGCAAAGGTCAAGAGGTCCAGGAGCATAGTGATCATTGTTGAAGCTGAGTGGGAAGAGTGTGGGGATTATTTCACTATTTCTTTGTTCTAGAATTTCCCATAATGTTTTTTTTCTGAATGACTGTTCTAGCCTTGGGTAAGTAAAGAGTCAGGTGTAAATATTTGCATGTGTTCAAGTACAGAGGCAAAAATATCTTGGTACAGTGTGAGGAAGACTGAGCAATCTAGAAGAGCACACTTGCAAAACCTGGGTGGTGACATACACATTCGAGCAGAAACATTGAGGACAGAGTCTGGAAAGCCATGAAAAGTATCAGAAAAAAAACAAACAAAACAGCTAGTAGTTTTTGATAATTCTTAAGTGCTGAACACTTTTTTTTTTTTACTTAAGCTTTACGTATTTGTCAGACATTTTTCCGCTGTGACCGCAGCACCTGACAACCAGAAAGGATTCAGATTTGTGTCACTTACCTCAGAGGTCTCAGGCCATCTCTGTGAAGAGGTTGTGATACAGCAGAGCTGGTGTAGAAGCTCACAGGAACACCTAAATTTCTCTTTACAAAATGATATTGCTGTGATTTGGACCTGTCCCCTAGATGCTTATGTCAGAAACATTTAAAAATTTATTTGTTAATAGTATACAAAGAAGCAGATTTCACCACGGTATTGTCAGCTATAAACGTGTAGTATCTCTTTATTCTCATTCATCCTCTACATTGCCCTTTCTCCCCCTAAATAGCTCTCTTTTCAGTTTGAATGACGATTGCATTCCAAACTACCCTAGACCTCTTCCCCCTCTCATAGTCCCCTTCCCCGTCCATTGTGTGCATGTTGGTGTATATAGTTGGTGTATATATTCTATCACATACCAAGGCTAGGCTCTATTTTTATCTCTTTGAGGAACCTCCATACTGACTTAGACAGTGGCTGCATAGCTCAGACTCTCACCGGAAGTATTTAAGGTTTCCCCTCTCTCCACATCGTCTCCAGCATCTGTTATCCAGTGTGTTCCTAATGACAGTCATTCTGACTGCAGTGAGGTAGAATCTCAGAGTGGCTCTCATGCATGTAACATGTCTAAGGATGTTGCACATTTTTTTTCAAATGTCTATTAGCTGTTTGCTTTTCTTCATTTTCATTAGACCACTTAGGGAATGGATGGTTTTGGCTTACGGTATTTAATATTCAGAGTTCTTTGTAAATTCTGGCTTCCAGTTCTCTATGAGATCTATAATTGGCAAATATTTTCTCTCATTCTGCAGACCCTCTTCATTCTGCTTCTTTCCTTTGCTGTGTAGGAGCTTTCTATTTTCACACAATTTCATTTGTCAGGTCTTAGGGCAATGTCTTGTGGTCTACAAGAGCTAGATCCAGAACAGGCTCCAAAGCCATAAAAAACCCTGTCTCAAAACAATTGTTTTTTTTAAAAAAAAAAAAAAAGTCTTAAAAGAGACAAAGTACAGATAGTCATAGATTAAAAAATAAAGAAAAAAAGCCAATTAAAAATAGAAAATTCACAGAGTCTGGAGTGTAGATGGAGCTGCAGGCCTGCTTTTCGTACTCCTTGGCTCCCACATGGCTAGCTTTGCACCCAAAATAACAACACACAAATTGTATTCGTTTAAACACTGCTTAGCCCATTAGCTCTAGTCTCTTACTGGATAACTCTCATATCTTGCTTTAACCCATATCTAATAATCTGTGTAGCACCACAAGGTGGTGTCTTACCAGGAAGATTCTAGTGTATGTCCATCTTGGGCTGGAGCTTCAATGCGTCTGACCCAGAGAGGAGAGGCATGGCAATTGTCTCACTTCCCTCTTCCTCCCAGCATTCTGTTTTGTCTACTCTACCTACCTAAGGGCTGGCCTATCAAATGGGCCAAGACAGTTTCTTTATTAACCAATGACCTTCCTCCATCACTGGAGTATATGTATTATTGTGTTTTCTTTAAATTTTTGACTGTAAAGGAGCTAAGTACAGAAAGACATCTCATTATATGGGCTGCCAAGCTGAACCAGCATGGATATTCTAAAGGTATTATGACTTCAGAATTTTGGTCTAAGGATATGATGCTTTGGAAAAGAGGTTCTTCTTTTGTTTTCACAGAAGATGAGACCCTGTGGGTTGCTCCTAGACCAATGTGGTATGACAGACCATGCCCTCCTAAAGAGTTGCTGTAAACACCCTTAAAATATTACTTTGCTAAACTGCTGACTGAGATGAACCTAACAAACAGGATATACCATAAAAGACCTAATTAACATACAGCATGAAACAGTTTGGAGAGAAATAACTGTGCTCATATTCCCAAATATTGTTTATAAATGTTCTTTTATACTTAAATGGGGATATGATATAGATATGAATAATTTCTATTGGTATGGATTTTGCTTTATTGATATAAATTTAAGGTCAATCGTGTTATATGTATATGTACTTCTGATCTTGATTAAGGTATTGTGATTGTATAGTTCATTTAAAAATGTACTGCGTAATTTGGAAATATAGATTGTAAATGGATAATCATCTATAATAGTCAATTTTGTAGTCATGTTAGTTCTTCTAGATGTACATAGATATATTTCAAATAGACATTCTTCATATCAAAGACTACAGAATATGGCATTTAAGATGTTTTAATAACTTAGGGCTTTTTTTATGACAGTGAGACACATCTGCTCCTGGCAGCACCAGCTACTTCAAGAGGAAGATGGGCACCAAAGAGGCTCCTTATGGGGTTGGTTAGCCATTTGGGCAAGAAACTGCTCTTGCCTAAACTGTTGCATAAACTGGACATGAAGAATCCGCAGAGAGAGGACTGCTAAACTTGCCTAAAAGTGAGATGGTCCTTCGGGGTTCTTCTTTCATGAAAGAGTCTGTGAGATATTCTGCAGGATACAGAAGAAAGTGACTGAACTGTCTTTAAAATTTCCTGCTTCATGGAAATGCCAGCTGGATACTATAGGCCTGTAGGCTGAATATGGATGCCCCAATAGTATAGAAAAACTTTGGGTGACTGTCCAGGAAGCAAGATGTCTCTGTCATTTCTAGAGATTTGGAAGTTGCTTACTTCTTGTTTACTTAGGTAATATTATATCCTTCTGGAGTCTTTGATGGAGTTAAAGAATAGATAGATAGTTACAGTTTTCCTTTGTTAAGGTAAGAGATAAACTATATCTAAATATTGTAACTGTAATTCTTGTTTGATACCTGTTATATGTAATTTTACTATGTTAAAGCCTTTCTTTTTTGTTTAAACAGAAAAAAAAAAGGGGGATATAATATAGGAGGTTCTTCTGTCTATTTGTTGCTTTCATTGGTTGAATAAAGAAACTGCCCTTAGGTGGGCAGAGAAGACAGAACAGAATTCTGGGAGGAAGAAAGCAGAGACAGGCAGATGTCGTGGTTCTCCTACCCAAGATGGACGATGGTTAGAATCCTTCCCAGTAAGCCATGACCTCATGGTGTTACACGGATTGGTAGAGATGGGTTAGATCAGGATGTGAGAGTTGGCCAATAATAGGCTAGAAATAATGGGCCAGGCAGTGTTTAAATAAATACAGTTTCTCTGTGATTATTTCAGGGGTTAAGCTACCCGTGTGGCGGGATGCAGCCCATTCCTTCTACTATATTTTTTGGTTTTTGTTTGTTTGTTTGAAGTCCTTTTTACAAATTCATTACCTATGTGTATATCTTAAAGTGTTTGTCTATGCTTTTTTTTCTAGAAGTTTCAGAGTTTCAAGTCTTACATTAAGATCTCTCATACATTTTGAATTGGCTTTTGTGTAGGATGAGCAGTACTAATTTCATTCTTTTGCATGTGGCTATCCAGTTTTTCCAACATAATTTTTGAATGGTCTATCATTATTGCAATGTATGTCTGTGTTAGGCATTATCAACTGTACCCAAACCCATTGTGAAATAATATTTAGAGACAGGGCTTTTAAAGAACAAGATGATGTCATGAGGGAATAGAGGACCCATAACAATGTTGGGGATCATTTAAGGAAAGGGAATATCCAAGCCAGCATGTTTGCTCAGTTTTGTCATGGGACTCCCTCTGCCATGCTGTGACACAACAGAAAGCTCCTACCAGAAATGCCAATGTCCTACTCTTGAACTCCCCAGCCTCAGTGCCAGGAAGTGCTCAAATACCTCTTCTTTACCAAGTACCCAGTTAGTGATGTTGCAGCAATGGAAAATTAGCCAGGCTACCTAGGAAATTTAAGAAAGCTTGTTTTTGTTTGTCAATGGAGAAAAGATAAACTGCAGTACACTTTTGTGTCTCACAGTTTTAGGAGAACCACTGGGTTCTAGTCCGTGAGGCAGGACTCCCAGGCAGGTTAGGCCAGGTGGAAGATCTGAACCAAACAGCCTGACTACCTGGACTCTGTCTGTTGAAAGAGTTGAACCTTCTTGTTTAGTTGAACAAACAAAACCGTGGACCTAGATGTCCCTGTGCTTGAGGTTATGAAGATGGAACAGAGTTTCTTCTTCTGAAAAGACCAGAAAGAAAGTCAACTGAACTGAAATGAATGTACCAAACTCTACAGCTACATGATGGCTGGGCAGTATAGAAGGCAGAGTGCCTGCTGCCCTGTTTGTACAAACCTTACCCCATCTAGCCATAGAGGCTTCCGGACACAGTACCCCAAGACAAAAGGAAAACTTTTAGTGATTTCTCCAGTGAGTAGTCCACTAAGTTATTAGATTAAGAATCAAAAAGCCATTAGCCAAGCACTGGTTGGTACCACACATGTCAATATGACAAGACGATGTGACAACGTAGTGAGATAATCTTAGAAAGGTTTTATCCATTTGCTCAGAGGACCTGTTGAGAAATTACCCAGTGTAGCTCACTAGGCCCTAGAGAGTCAAATGAGCTCAAACTCTGAAGAAAAAGTCCCTGTGCTCAGGAAAAGTAAAAAGGCTGCCGCTAGCATCTTGGCCCTGCATCTTGGGTAAGACCTGGGATGGAGAGAACTACCTTCTAGTATCAAGCCTTCCAAAGCTGCTCAAAATATCTGCTCACTCTTTTAAGGAGGAGACACTCAAGCAATGCTGGACAAGTTTACTTAAAAGGGACAGATGAGCTTGGTCGTGGCAGAATGTGTATGCTGAGATAGGCTGAGAATCATGATAAACAGATACTAGCTGCCTGTCAATCACAGCTACTCTTACAATAGGATAGTAAGTCCTTCAGGTCAAAATAAAAAAGAAACACATAGTGGTATCTTTTTTTTGTCTTGTTTTGTTTTGTTTGAGACCAGGTTTCTCTGTAGCTTTGGATCCTGTCCTGGAACTAGCTCTTGTAGACCAGGCTGGCCTCAAACTCACAGAGATCCACCTGCCTCTGCCTCCTGAGTGCAGGAATAAAGGGGTGTGCAACCACCACCCGGTCACATAGTCCCATCTAACAGCAGCACTCCACCAGCAGGTGCCAGGGTGACCCTGGTCACCTTGATGTCTCTGGGCTGTTTAATCCTGTAGACCAAAGGAAGACTTGCCCCATAATGACCCCATCTATAGATAGAGGGGCAG